TTGGTATGCTTTTCCCCAAAGGACGTTCTTTAATATTTTTAGTGGTGTGAATCTTCTGATGGTGAATTCTTTCAGCTTTTACAGGCTGGCAGCTTACTCAGTTGGTTAGAGTGCAGCCTTATAACACCAAATTCATGGGTTTAGACATCCATACGGGTCAGCTGCCAAAAAAAAAGAACTCTTTCATTGGAAGAAAATCTTTCTTTCACCTTCATTTTTGAAAGTTATTTTTGCCTTGTATGGTGTCTGGGTTGACAGTTTTTTCCTTCAGGTACTTGAAAAAGTGTTGCTTTGCTGTCTCCTTACTTGCTTTGTTTCTGATGAGAAGTCTTTCATCCTAATCTTTGTTCATTTTATACATAACAGGTCTTTTTTCCCCCTCTGGAAACTTTAAAATTTTCTCTTTATTTACTGATTTTGGGTAATTTGATTATGACATGTCTTACTGTAGTTTTTTTCATGTTTCTTGTGCTTGGGTTTTGTTGAGCTTCTTAAGTCGGTGGATTTATAGTTTTCATCAAGTTTGGGAAGTTTTTTTCAGATATTTTTTCTGTTCCCCACCTGTCTCCTTTCCTTTGAGGACTCCATTTACCCCTATATTAGACCACGTTAAGTTGTCCCACTGTTTTTTGCCTTCTTTTTTCACTCAGTTTTTTGGCTTTTTTTCTTCTCTCATTACTATGGTTCTAAAAGTGAAAGATATTTGAAAAGATATACAGGTGCTTCTAGACCTTTGGTGGGCTTACATCCTGATAAACACATTGTGAAGTCAAGAAATTGTAAGTTGAACCATCGTGAGCTGGGGATTGTCTGTAATAAGAAGTGTCATTCTCATTTCCTACTATCCTATTCTCATTCCTCTCTTCTTTCTGTGCCTTTCTACCTTCTTTGTTAACAACCTGTAACACATCTCTTTAGTTTCTGGTTTATCTTTCCTGTTTCATTGCACAAATGAATAGATACATGTGTTTTTTTCTTACATGCTCTTCTTTCTTACATTGAAGGAAAGCATATAGTCATTTCCACTTTATTTTTTTACTTAACAACATATCCTGGAACTCTTTCCAAGTTAGTTTATTGAAATCTTCCTGATTCTTTGTTACAATTTATAGTACTACATTTTGTGGATTTATCTTAATTTAGCCACTCTCTTACATATGCATGTTGAAGTTGTTTTTAATATTTTGCCATTGCAAACATTGCCATAGTAAATAACTCTGTGCTTATGTATTTTCATATCATTTGAAGTATATATACCCAGTAATGGGATTGCTGGGTCAAAAGATAAGTGCATATATAGTTTTGTTAGCTGTTGCCAAATTCTTCTTTAGAAGGGTTGTACCAAGTAGCATTCCATAGAGTGCCTATTGCTCCACAGCCTCACCAATAGAATGTATGCTCATACTTTTGAATTTTTCACAGTCTCATAGATGAGAAATGGCATCTCAGTATTGTTTTAATTTGCATTTCTCTAATTATGAATAAGTTTGAACATTCTTTCATATGTTTGAGGGCCATTTTATATTTTGTTTTCATGTCTTTTCCTGTTTTAATATTGGTAACATATTAACTGAACTATAGAACATAGATTTTAGGAGGTCTTTTGTCCCTTTTAAGAGTTCGCTGTATATTTGGGCTATTAGCATTTTGTCTCCAGTATATATATATTTCATATATTTCTTTCATATTTGTTACTTTGTTTACGATAGGTGTTTTGGGGTTTTTTTTTTGCCATGTACTTTTTTATTTTTGTATAAATTTATCATTGCCTCTGGATTTTGAGTCATCGTATAGGGAAAGGATTTAATCAAAGGTTAAATAGTAAAATAGCAATTCACCCTTCTAGTACTTGTTTGGTTTAATTTTTCACTTTTAGATACTAATTCAGATGGAAGTTTTGTGTGTGTAAGGTGTGAGATATGGATCTGATTTTATCTTTTTTCCTCAAATGATTACCTGTTTGGAATCCCAGTTATGCAATTCTCTAACTCTGTGATCTTGGACAAGTTTAATGACCTGTTTGTCTTAGTCAACTCATCTGTAGAGAGGGGATAATGAAAAGCATGAACCTTATAGGTTGTTTTAGGATTATTTGAGATGATACATTTAAGTGCCTATCACAGTTCACATGGTAAACACACAATAAATTTTAGCTATTATTATTTTAATCTATAAAGAGTTTTAACACATCAGTGAGAGAAACACTAAAACTCCAATTGATAAATGTCCAAAGAACGTAGTTAACTGACAAAGGGACTGAAATGGCCACTTAACATATCTAAAATATTCTACTTCATTAAAAAACAAAGAAATGTAAAATAACACAACAGTCAGGTATTTTTCATTGGTCAACTTGCAAATCTACTGAAACCATTTTCTAGGCAGTGCTTCTGAGGACACCCTAAGGTAGGCACACTCATAGATTGTAAGTGGAAGCGTATGTGGATAAAACTTTCATAAAAAATAATTTCACAATATAATTCTGCCTTTTTACTGTATAATTTTATTTCCATATCTGCCTTAAGGAAATAATCAGAGCTACAGATAAAATTTGTTAAAAATTGTTCATTACATGGGCCAGCCCGGTGGCGCACTGCTACAGTGCGCCGCTTGTGAACGCGGCGGCGCTCCCGCCGAGGGTTCGGATCCCACATACAGACCGGTTCCTGCTCACT